GTGGTTACGGCCCAGAGACGACAGACAGCAACTCACAGCAGGAGCCTAACCAGGCATTTGCCTAGTAAACCAAAAAATCAACATTTGTGTAGGATTTAAACAAGACCCAGAATCTCCTAACAGTATTCCCAATGGCCAGATACAACCCAAAATTACATGACATTTGAAGACCCAGGAAAATCTCCACATCTCTCAAGGAAAAAGACAAAGGGACAATCAAGAGACAATGCTGAGATGACACAAGAGTTAAAATTGAGACACTAAAGCTATTATAATCATGTTCCAAGAAATACAGGCAAATCTTGAAATGAATAGAAAGATAGTCTCATCAGAGAAACAGACAATACAGAAAGAACTGAATTGGAGTTTTGAGAATAAATATAATAACCAAACTGAAAACATTCATTGCATGGACTCAATTTTTTTCCTCTAAGTTCTTTAAAATATGTATGATAGTTGAAAGCAAAAGTAATAACATTGGCGGGGTTTGAATGTGTGCATACGTAATCCATACGACAGCTGTGATTGGGAAACGATGATAAAGGGACCTACATGGTCCTAAGTTTTCTGCATTCCATTTGAAGTGGCAAAATATTCTGAGTAGACTGGAAAATTAACTATGAATATTGTAACTCCTAGAGCAAACTTCTAAACAAACACTGCAAAGAGACGTAGTCAAACTCCGTAGATGAGTTAAATTGGAACACTAAAAATATTCCAAAAGTCCAAAGGAATGCAAGAAAGAGGAAGCAAAGAAATGAAACACAGAGCAAACAAAAACCAAAAATAAAATGGTAGACCGAAATCCAAACATATCAACATTCAATGTGAAGAGTCTAAATACACCAAAAGCAGCAAACTTCAGAGTAGATTTTAAAAGAAAAAAGACCCATTTAAATCATAACCACAGCGTGCTTGCTTCGGCAGCACATATACTAAAAAATTGGAATGATAAATCATAACCACAGCAAAACCCATATAAATGAATAAGTAAAAGTAAAAGGGTGAGAAAAAAAATAAAAGAATGCAAAAAATATATACTATACCATGTAAACACCAAGTGTGTTATAATATACATGCCAACATCAATTACAAGCAACAGTACTTGCATACATTGTTGGTGGGAAAATAAATAGTTTAAACAACTTCGTAAAATAGCTTGACATTATCTGTGAAAAACACATACCACATAATCCACAATCTATTCCTAAGATATTTCCAATAGAAGTGCATACATAGGGGCACCTGGGTGGCTCAGTTGGTTAAGCATCTTGACTTTGGCTCGGGTCATGATCTCAGGGTCCTGGGATTGAGCCCCACATCAGGCTCCACAGTCAGCTGGTAGTCGGCTTGTTCCCTCTGCCCCTCCCCCCACTTCATGCTCACACGTGCTCTCTCTCTCTCTCTCTCTCTCAAATAAATAAAATCTTTAAAAAAAAAGTGCACAGATGCTCCAAAGACATGTTCTAGAATGTTCATAGTATTGTTCTTAATTATAACCGCAATTGAAAGAACTCAAATGTCCAGAAACAATAGACTGATGAAGTGTGGCATATTCATGGAGTGGAACACCATGCAGCGGCAGGTGAGCTACAGCAACACCCAGTGACATGGATGAGTTTCACAGACCTCATGTTGGGTGAAAGAAGCCAGCCACAAAGGAATCCATTCAAAAACAGGCAAAACCAGCCTATGGGGTTAGGGCGGCCTGAGAGCAGGTATTAGGGAGGAGGGTGGGAGAAATGACTGAGAGTCTGGTAACATTCTATGCCTGGGTGGCAGTTTCTTGGTCTGCATGTTTTGTGCACTTTTTCTGTAAGTGTATTATGCACCAATAAAAACAATTTTGAGACTATTTTTAAAAGTCAGAATGGAAATATGACCAGGGGAGATTCTGTTGTGGAAAGGAAAGAAGGCCAGAAGAGAAGTGATTTCAGGATAAGAATTAGATAAATAAGCGAGTGCTTCTTAAGCATCTGCCATATGCCAAAACTGTCCTAAATGCTTTCAGTATGGATTATCCCATTTAACCCACCCTCATGAACAAAGGAGAGTGTGGACACAAAGGTAACAGGAATCAGCAGCATTGAGTACTGGTGCACGATTTTCAAGATTAACTCCAATTCTCCATCCAGGAGGTGAAAACCAGCAGGCCCTTTGTAGAAGAGTCTGGAAGACCCCTCTCCTGGGTCTGGCATTCCCCAAGGCCTCACCCCAGGCTTCTGACCTTGTCTTCAATTGCTTTTATACCCATAGCCCCAGAGATGCCTCTCCTTGCAATGCATTGCAATTTTATTTTTACTTAAAAAATATATTCTTGCACAAAACTTAAATCTGCTGTATGGGACAGAAAGCATGGCAAAGGCGTCCCTTTGTTCATTTTTCTTTAAGATTTTCTGTGAAAAGTAAAGACTTATTTCCTAATACATTCTCAGATAATACAACTTTTTATATAGAATGTTTAACAGTTGTGTTGGTAAGAAGTGTTCTGGGATGTAAGGTAAAAGAATAAAAAGTGATCCAAAAAGAAAGAAGAAGAAGAAAGAAAAAAAACAAAACCAGCAGTGGGGAAGAAGACACTGCCCAAGAGTAATCTCCCTTCCTTGCATCCTCCGCGGCAGGTCAGATGCTGCGGGGGCATCGTGCTGATCACGCGGTCTGATTATCTGAAGCCATCCATTAAGATATTCAAGCAGACCAGATGCATCCGGGATATTGGCTCCTTCTGACATTTCAGCGGGCCGGCCGTCGGGAGTGCGTTGTGGAGGGTTTTGCGACACCTCCTCCAGGAATATGATACAAAAGTCAGAATCATTTCAGGAACCGGTGAGCTTTTTTCTATTTCTTCCAAGTAGAAGCTGTTCTTACAGCTCTAAACTTCTGTCCCTGCTGGGATCTCACTCCCTGTGGTGCATTATGAATCTTGTAGCTTTCTTATCAACTGCCTCAGTGGAGTGTGCTATACCTTGTCACATATGATATAACATCACTTGGTTAAATGTAAAATGTTTAAAATATGCCAAAGTTTTGTAACCATGTTTTGTCACATCTTCATTTCTTTTTTCTTTTTCTTTTTTCCTTTTTTTAGAGAGAGCGCATGTGAGCAGAGGGGAGGAGGGGCAGAGATAGGGAGAGAGAGAATCCCAAGCAGGATCCACGCTCAGCCTAGAGCCTGATTCGAGGCTCCATCTCAGACCCTGGGATCATGACCTGAGCTGAAATCAAGAGTCGGTCGCTCAACCGACTGGGCCACCTAGGAGCCCCCATCTTCATTTCTTAGTACACTAACTGCCTCAGGAGGTAGAAGTGGCTCAGGCTCTGTCAACCTCTAAGGGCTCCAGTTTCTATTATTACCACTGCTTCATAGATGAGAAATGAGCATAAGGACCGTGTTTTCCTTCTTGCTTTCCCTAAGCTGCTCCCATGATGCCATGTTGTCGGTGGTCAAGTCCAAGTATCCTACAGGCCATAAGAGTGTCACAGGGCTTATTCACAACCTGCAGGAGAGGTGGCAAGAGGTGAGATTCCTGAGGCAATGCCCGCTTAGCTTGAATTCATCTTGCAAACGAGGTGGGGCCAGATGACAGGTAGAATGAGGGCCTCACTCTCTCCCTAGGTCTCAGCAGGCCTGGGGGAAGGGAATGACCAGGCTGGCTTGAGGTTTAGTCAGTGTGCTCTTTGCCTCCCCTTTCAGTGCTTTGCTTTGGGCTTCACTTGTCCAAAACCCCCCTCTTCGCCACCTAGCCCCAGACCAGGCAAAGGCCCAGCTGCCTGTTCCACTGACCTGTGCCCAGGAGGGCAGGCTCTAGAATGCACTGCTCTTGCTGATGAACAGATACTGGCCTCTTGTGGAAGACGCTAATTACCCCAGCGCACAAGGCGATCCTTCCCACATCCCCTCCTCACCAGGGAGCAGCTCCCCAAGGTTGACCCCATGGGGCTGAGGTTGACCGTTGAGGGCAGGGAGAAAGGACCCCAACCCCAAGCACCCTGAGCAGACTCTGGGGATCCAGGCCTTTCCCCACGTGGTTGACTCTAAGGTAGAGAAGAAAAAGGACTCAAGTCTCCAGGACCTATCTTTAGAGTGAGAGGAGTTGCTTGACCACTGGGTCACAGCCCCCCTGATTGGCCAGTGGGTGGGCGGGAGGCAGGAAGGAACTGCCTGGCCCCAAGCCCAGCGCCTGGCGACACTCAGTGAGGGCTGTGGCAGGGAAGGAGGAAGGCTCAAACTTGGGGCTGCACCCAGCCAACTGAGCCCTTCTCAGGTGCCTGATGGGGCCGACTTCTAGAGAGGGAGAACTCCACCACCGGCTATGTGAGCAGAGAAGGGAGGAGGGTGGGGAAGGGGATGCAAGGAGAGAAGGAAATGCCAATTTCCTGGGGACTGGAGCTGGAAGTGAGGACAGCTTCTCCCCCTCTGAGACGGAGGGTGGCCCCCAGGAATGGAGAAGGAGGGACCCAGGCAGCAGGGGCGGACGGATAGAAGACCCAACATCATTCATGACCAGCTCTGTGTCCTTAACTTAACCTAACAGATTCTCAGCCTCCTCACTTCGGAAAGAGATGGTATAGCTGTGAGCATGGCTGTGGGGAGCCTGCAGATTGTTTCGCTCATAGTCGGCCCTTAATAAACAGTCCTGGTCAGAGCAAGACTTCGCCTAGACTCTGGCCACACGGTCGAAGGGTGGTGGCTGTAGCTGGTATCCCCTGGAGTTAATATGCTCCCGGATTCAAAATTCCTGAGGAAGGTTAAGTGTAGGAAGAGAGTCTCTGCCTTCCGTGCCTCAGTGTGCCCAGCGGCTCTGCCCCAGGGAGCCGAGGCCCATCTGATGCAAAGCCGAATCCACATTTGCATTTCACTGGGGAGGCTTTTGGCCAGAGCAGTGGAAGGACCTGCTCGGCTGGAACGTTTTTTTTTTTTTTCCCTCCCAGGCGACGTCTGATGGGTGTGTCAGGCAGGAGGTGATATTTGACTGGGCCGGCACGGGCGAGCCGCTGCGGAGCCAAGGGCACCAGGCATTGGGCTAGAGATGGCCTCCCCGGACCTGCCGCCCGCCACCAGCTACGCCCCGCCCGAAGTGCCCCTGGGGGTCCTGCTGTTCTTCACCATCCCCTACGCCTTCTTCTTGCCCGAGCTGGTGAGTGCTGCAGCGTGGGACACCTGCAGAAGGGGAGGGCTCAGGAGAAGCCGGCACTCCTGGGGGGGGCGGCGGCAGGGGCCGGAGCGGCTGTGGGTCTCCCATCTCCCCCACCTCTCAGACTCAGCTGGGATGATCCCTAATCCCTCCCTGTGCTCCTCCTCCCAACTTATGCAGTATGGGTGGGTTTCCTCCTTCCAAAACAAACCCACCCGCCGTGGGTGACAGGCAGGCCACCTGGTGATCGGAGGGGTGGTGAAGGGTGGCGGGGGGAATGCTGCTAAAATATCCTGGGTCCTCAGGAAGATGCTGGAAATGGACTTTTATTTTTTTTAAAGATTTTATTTATTTATTTGAGAGAGAGAATGAGAGATAGAGAGCACAAGAGGGAAGAAGGTCAGAGGGAGAAGCAGACTCCCCGCTGAGCAGGGAGCCGATGCGGGACTCGATCCCGGGACTCCAGGATCATGACCTGAGCCGAAGGCAGTCGCTTAACCAACTGAGCCACCCAGGTGCCCTGGAAATGGACTTTTATATGGTTTCTTTTCTCCAACTACTTGCTTGTTTCTGCTTTTCTAAAGTTCAAAACGGTTGGGTGGGGGGGACTCTGTCTTTCCTTCTGAGAGGAGGTCTTCTAGTATTAACTGTCATGTCAGCTGACTTTAAACTTTGACTTGTAGACTCTGTGCAAGAGGTAGCTCGTGACATCTGCCATAAAACAGTTGTGTGAGCCGCCCTGGTTGCACACAGGGACCTGTGACTGCGTTACACTCTCTGAGATGCCCTGCAGCTGGATTGCGGCTCGAACCCCTGCCAGGGGCCGGGGGTGGCTCACATGTTGCAGTCTGCAGAGCCCTGTAGACACAGTGCCCATCTGAGCCAGCTGCCACCATCCCCTTTCTGCTCATGGGGACACCGAAATCTGGTGAACCATTCAGGGCAAAGGAGTTTATTTCGTGTTTTGAACACGTCCTAAAATATCTAGCTTGTGGGTAACACTTTCTTAACAGCTCTGAATTTGGCAGTGCTGACCCCGGGCCAGGGAGGGGAAGGTGGTTCCAGCTTTCAATCAGACCTGACCGGCCCTCTCTCGTCATTTGCCCGAAGGCTGGGCCTGAGCAAGTGACCCTGTGGCAAACTGGTTAAAGCGCACCCATTGATGGCACCAAGAAAGGAAGCCAGGCAGGGTGGGCCCAGCATTTGGGCGGCTCCAGCTGAAACCCCACCCAAGAGGCAGGTTTCTGCCAGGCCTGCCCCCTGGGGGCAGGTGGGGGAACATAAGCATGGGCATCCTGCCAGGCTGATGACATTTTAGTGCTCTTGCAAGTTCTCTGTGCCCGGACCCGGGCGTGTCCCTCACCTCAGAACAACCACATGAATTGCCAGGATTGTGGTTCTTGCCACCACTCTGTACCGAGCACATGCTTTATGTCAATCTTGCAAGCCCCTGGTAGAGGGTCCTGCCTTCCCAGGTGCCCCGTCTGCTGGAGAAAGATTCCCGAGCACTCCTCCACAGTCAGCCTATGCTTGAGGCGGTGACTGTCCTGGGCTGTGGCATCAGCAAGGAGAGATGGTCTGACCTTGTCAAGTCAGGGAGGGGTCCAGACCTACCACGGAGGCATCAATTTTGGGGCTGGACCTCAAAGGACAGGCTGGATTTCCAGGCTGGGGGCCAAGAACAGGGAAGGCCTGGAGTCCAGGAGAGCCCAGCAGGCAGGAGGCTGGAGGGAAGGGGCTTACAGAGCCAGGAAACCCCCTGGGGGCACTTTGTCGTGATAGGGGCCATCGCATGCATCCAGCCCCACGAGGCTGGGCTCCTGTAGGCTTAGGCTGGGGCCTTAAGTATCTCTAGGGGGTGGGATGTTGTCATTGGCTCAATTGTACTCATTTATTTTTCTTTTGAAGTAATTTTAGATTTATAGCAAAGCTGTGTGAATAGGACAGAGCGTTCCCGTACACTCTTTACTCGGCTTCCCTTAAAGTCCACATCTTACGTAATACACCTATAAAAATCAGGAAATTAGCACGGATACTTTCATTGATCAACTGTTCTAATAAACATCATTCAAATTGTGCTGATTTCCCCCACTCATGTCATTTTTCTGGTCCAGGTTCCTGTCCAGGATTTGGCGTTGCATTTGGGTGTCTTACCTCCTCTGTCTCCTTCAGTCTGTCTTCATACTTCTGAAGAACAGCGATCAGTTATTTTGTAAATGTCCTTTCATTTGGCCTTGTCTGATGTTTCCTTATTTACAATTTTAGGTTTTTAAAAAAAAAAAAGATTTATTTTATTTGAGAAAGAGAGAGAGAGCATGAGTGGGAGGGACAGAGAGAGAGGGAGAGAGACTCTCAAGCAGACCCCATGCTGAGCAGGGAGCCTGACGTGGGGCTCGATTCCAGGACCCCAAGATCACGACCTGAGCTGAAATCAAGAGTGGGGCGCTTAACCGACTGCACCACCCAGGCGCCCCTACAACTTCAGTTTTAATTCACAAGTTATCCTTATTCATTGTGGAATACTTAGAAAATATAGAAATAAATATGATCCATATGTATGGATAATAATAAATTTAATCCATATGCATATGCATATATACACACATATGTTAAGTATTTAATGGGGTTATTCTGTACATGCTATTTTGCACCATCTTTTCCTTAAGTGAGTGTTCCTAGCACAGACTGTAGAATCAAGCGTGCCTGCCTCATATCTGGGGCCAGGGATGGGAGGTAAACGGGAGAGGAGGGAGAATATCAAGTTGGTTGGTTGATTCTGATCCCACTGAGCGGAAGATATGCTGGGCTGGAGTGAAGGGTGAGAATCAGCCCACCAGAAACCCCTCTGTCCCTAGTCACCTGGGCATGCTGCCTGCTGCCTCACACTGGGGCTGACCACAGAGCAACAGGCCTTGGGATCCCAGCAGATTCTCAGTCTGGTGGCCTAAGTCATCATAGACAGCCATATGCTTTTCTAAGGACATGAGTCCAGAGAGTGGATTCTGAAACCAGGAGCTCAGGCCAGCAAAAAGGGGCAGTTAGCAAGTGAACTCCATACCTGGATTCAGATGTGGTCTGTGACCACAGGAGTGGCCCGGGGTGGACATAAGTGGTGTCTGCAGGCTCACTTCCGTCCAGCCACTGTTTGCCCAGCACCCACAGTGAGGTCTGGACAGCAGCAGGTGACTGTCTCAGGCTCTTGTGCAGTAATGACAGTGACAAACTAGGGTGGCAAGAGGATCTGCATGTTCCCTGGACCCTGCTCGTACAGATCTTTGCCTAGGTTGCTTTATTTTAGACTCTTAAACATTAAAATGCACATTAAAAAAAAAAAAACCATTTATTTTGCGGTAATTAGAGATTCGTAGGCAGTTGCAAATATAGTTCAGAGAGGTCTCCCATAGCCTTCCCCCAGCTTCCCCCAGTGATTTCATAATGCTAGTCCCATCAAAACCGAGTAAGCAATGTTGGTCAAGTATGTCCACCCTTCTATGTCATCTTCTCACACCTGTAGTTTCATGTCACCACCACAATCAGGAAAACCGTTCCAGCACCACAGAGATCTTCCACCTGCTTCCTTTTTACAGTCACCCAACCCCCACCCAGTCTTCCCTCATCCCCTCCAGAACCCCTGGAAGCCACTAATTTCATCTCTATAATTTTGTTATTTCAAGTTATATAAATATGGGCGCCTGGGTGGCTCAGTCGGTTAAGCATCTGACTCTTGGTTTCGGATCAAGTCATGATCTCAGGGTGGTGAGATCAAGCCCCACGTCGGGCTCCGTGCTCAATTCAGTCTGCTTGAGATTCTCTCTCCCGCTCCCTCTGCCCCTCCCCCTGCTCATGCTTGCTATTTCTCTCTCTAAAATAAATAAGTACATCTTTTTTAAAAAAGTTATATAAATAAATAGAGTCATAGAGTATGTGGCCTTTTGAGATTGGCCTCTTGCACACAGCATAACGCCCTTGACGTCCACCCAAGTTGTGTGTGTGTCAGTAGTTCCTTTGATTGCTGTGTAGTATTTCCATGGCATGGATGTACCGTAGCTTGTTTCACCAATGACCCGTTGAGACACACTGTAATTGCTTATAGTTTTTAGCTCTTCTGAATAAAGCCGTATGAACGTTCACATACAGGCTTCAGTGTGGGTATTATTTTCACCCCTCTGGGAGAATGCCCGAGTGTGATTGTTGGGTTGTATAATAAGTGTATGCTCACGTTTTATTTCCAGAGTGCCTGTACCATTTTACATTCCTACCAGCAATGGAGGAGACTTTCTGAGATTTTAACACTAAAATCCGTATTTCGCTCGGTTTACTGTTGAGTTTAGATTTCTCACTTGAAAATGGTATTAATTTCAAAATGTAATCTCCAGGTGTGGAACAGTGCATTTTAAGGTGAGAACAGACATGGTGTCTTCCGTCTGTCTTTTCATTCAGAGATTGTGAGAGCCTGCTGGTGCTGGTGCTAGTGCTGGGCGGGGCTGGGGACCACGTGACTCCCAGCACCGCACACCCCGCCCCCCACCCCCAGGCCAGCTCTCCAGAGCACACAGTGGTGCGGGTGGCTAGGGGATGGTGATGGCCTGTGTGGTGTGAGTTGACTCATCAACACGATGCTGAGAGCTGACCCAGGCGACTATGCCCTGGGGAGTGCTCTATGAAACAGAGTCCAAGATGTCTTTTGACTTTAATCTCTTCATTAGTTAACTTAATTGATTCAATGTTTAATTAAAAAGAAACAGCTAAGAAGATTTCTAGTCAGCCAGTTAAAAGGTGAAACAATTCAGACACTCTGGTGCTTGATGTTCTCAGCTTCTTAACTCTCTTGCACGGTGGCCAGAGGGAAATACTCTGATTCCCCTAGAAGCTCATTCCAGAATCTTTCAGCTGGGGAAGCTCACCTTTATATTTTACTTAAATCCCCAGCTTCCCCTGATTTTCAGCCTGCTTCTTCTACTACTCTGTTTATATGTAAAAGCCTGTCTGAGGGGCACCTGGGC